CCATTCATGATGAAAACTATCAACAAAATGGGTATAGAGGGCAAGTACGTCAACATAATAAAGGCCGTATATGATAAACCCACAGCCAAGATCATACTTAACATCAAGAAGCTGAAAGCTTTTCCTCTAAGATCGGGAACATGACAGGGATGCCCACTCTCCCCACTGTTATTCACCATAGTACTAGAGGTCCTAGCCACAGTAATCAGACAAAACAAAAAAATACAAGGAATCCTGATTGGTAAAGAGGGAGTCAAACTGTCACCATTTGCAGATGACATGATATTGTACATAAAAAAACCCTAAAGACTACACTCCAAAACTACTAGAACTAATATCGGAATTCAGCAAAGTTGCAGGATACAAAATTAACACACAGAGATCTGTGGCTTTCCTGTATACTAACAATGAACTAGCAGAAAGAGAAATAAGGAAAAGAATTCCATTTACAATTGCATCAAAAAGAATAAAATACCTAGGAATAAAACCTAACCAAGGAAGTGAAAGACCTATACCCTGAAATCTACAAGACACTCTTAAGAGAAATTGCAGAGGTCACTAACAAATGGAAACTCATCCCATGCTCCTGGCTAGGAAGAATTAATATCGTCAAAATGGCCATCCTGCCTAAAGCAATCTACAGATACAATGCAATGCTTATCAAAATACCAACAGCATTCTTCAGTGAATAGTTCTAAAATTCATATGGAACCACCAAAGACCCCAAATAGTCAAAGCAATCCTGAGAAGGAAGAATAAAGTGGCAGGTATCTCACTCCCCAACTTCAAGCACTACTACAAGCCACAGTAATCAAGACAATTTGGTACTGGCAAAAGAACAGAGCCACGGACCAGTGGAACAGAATAGAGACTCCAGACATTAACTCAAACATATATGGTCAATTAATATACGATAAAGGAGCCATGGACATACAGTGGGGAAATGAGAGCCTCTTCAACAGCTGGTGTTTGCAAAACTGGACAGCTACATATAAGAGAATGAAACTGGATCATTGTCTAACCCCATACACAAAAGTAAATTTGAAATGGATCAAGGACCTGAATATAAGCCATGAAACCATAAAACTCTTAGAAGAAAACATAGGGAAAAATCTCTAGGACATTAACATGAGTGACTTCTTCATGAACATATCTCCCCAGGCAAGGGAAACAAAAGCAAAAATGAACAAGTGGGACTATATCAAGCTGTAAAGCTTCTGTACAGCAAAGGATACCACCAATAGAACAAAAAGGCATCCTACAGTATGGGAGAATATATTCATAAATGACAGATCTGATAAAGGGCTGACATCCAAAATATATAAAGAGCTCGTGCACCTCAACAAACAAAAAGCAAATAATCCTATTAAAAAATGGGTGAAGGTTATGAACAGACACTTCTCCAAAGAAGAAATTCAGATGACCAACAGGCACATGAAAAGATGCTCCACATCACTAATTATCAGGGAACTCCAAATTAAAACCACAAGGAGATATCACCTCACCCCAGTAAGGATGGCCAACATAGAAAAGGCTTGGAACAAGAAATGCTGGCTAGAATGCGGGTAAAGGAGGAACTCTCCTATGCTGCTGGTGGGAATGCAAATTAGTTCAACCATTGTGGAAAGCAGTATGGAGGTTTCTCCAAGTGCTCAAAATAGAAATACCATTTGACCCAGGAATTCCACTTCTAGGAATTTACCCTAAGAATGCAGCAGCCTAGTTTGAAAAAGACAGATGCACCCCTATGTTTATCATTGCACTATTTACAATAGCCAAGATATGGAAGCAACCAAAATGTCCATTAGTAGATGAATGGATAAAGAAGATGTGGTATATATACACAATGGTAAATTACTCAGCTATAAGAAAAAGACAGATCCTACCATTTTCAACAACATGGATGGAGCTAGAGGGTATTATGCTCAGTGAAATAAGCCAGGCAGAGAAAGACAAGTACCAAATGATTTCACTCATATGTGGAGTATAAGAACAAAAGAAAACTGAAGGAACAAAACAGCAGCATAAGCACAGAACCCAAGAATGGACTAATAGTTACCAAAGGGAAAGGGACTGGGGAGGACGGGTGGGAATGGAGGGATAAGGGTGGGAAAAAAGAAAGGGGGCATTATGATTAACATGTATAGTGTAGGGGGGGGCACGGGGAGGTCTGTGCAACACAGAGAAGACAAATAGTGATTTTACAGCATCTTACTATGTTGATGGACAGTGACTGTGAATGGGTGTGTGGGGGTTACTTGGTGATGTGGGGAGCCGAGTGAACATAATGTCCTTCATGTAATTGTAGATTAATGATACCAAAATAAAATTAAAAAAAAAAAAAAGAAAGAAAGAGAAAACAAAAACTAAAAATAGAAATACCATTTGACCCAGGAATTCCATTCCTAGGAATTTACCCTAAGAATGCAGGAGCCCCAGTTTCAAAAAGACATATGCACCCCTCTTTTATCTCAGGACTATTTATAATAGCCAAGAAATGGAAGCAACCTAAGTGTCCATCAGTAGATGAATGGATAAAGGTATGGCACATATACACAATGGAATACTATTCAGCCATAAAAAGAAAACAAATCCTATCATATGCAATAACATGGATGGAGCTAAAGGGTATTATGCTCAGTGAAATAAGCCAGGTGGAGAAAGACAAGTACCAAATGATTTCACTTGTCTGTGTTGTATAAGAACAAAGAAAAAACTGAAGGAACAAAACAGAAGAAGACTCACAGAACCCAAGAATGGACTAACAGTTACCAAAGGGAAAGGGACTGTGGAGGATGGGTGGGAAGGGGTGTGGGAGTGAAAGGGGGCATTATGATTAGCATGTATAATGTGGTCGGGGGGGCATGGGGAGGGCTGTTCAACACAGAGAAGACAAGTAGTGATTCTACAGCATCTTACTACGCTGATGGACAGTGACTGTAATGGGGTTTGTTGTGGGGGACTTGTTGATGTGGGGAGTCTAGTAAACATAATGTTCCTTATGTAATTGTAGATTAATGATACCAAAAAAAAATTTACTCAACAACAAAGAAGATCTTCACCTGAAAAGCACAGAAAGTGAGGATGACAGAACTGAGAAAATTTTAGGAAATTTAAGGAATGCAGATTGAGGAAATGTAGTGTAAATGTAGGGCAGGAATGGACATGACATGTTCAGGAAATTGAGAGAAAGTGATATTCATTTTAGATTAAATTCTCCTTTATTATAAGTATAAAAATGAAAAATTGAAGAGAATGACAATATTCTTAACTTTTATTCCATAGTAATAAGAAAGGGCTCATATAGCTTGCATCTGAATTAATTTAGAATTATCAGGTTTAGTAGTAATTTAGCAGGAAACTAAGGATTTACAGGATCTCAGGAGGACATAAAGCAAAATTAGCGTCATTTTTCTGTGTTCCATTAGAAAAGACTTCCTGGAGAAAGATTTTAGAAGAAAGTGATAAAAGTTGGTTTGTAGAAAGGTTGAAAACAAAAATGAGTTCTCTATGTAAAGATTTGCGTATAGCTGATTAGACCAAAAGTGGGATATGAGATGCAGTTTTTAAAGAGGCACATTACAGCAAGAATTCTGATTCAAATTCATTCTCCATTTATCTTGTATCATCTTCCCTCTTTGTCCCAGAGCCGCATGAGAACCTGAGGTGAAAGTTGTTACCAATTACCTGTTCTGCTTTCTGAAGGCCCCTCCTGCTCAGAAATGTGAGACTTATGTTTTATTTGAGACTTTCCATATTCTGATCCTGTATCCCTCTTTAATGTTTCTTTTTTCCTCCCTAAAGGAACCTCTGTTTCAGATAAGACTCCTGATTATTTCTGACTTGTGTTCCCTGCCTTTCTCTCTCAAGAGCATCTTGCCCTCCCCTCTCAGCCATATGAGCTCAATCTGCTTTTAACATTCAAGGTTTCAGAAGTCACCTTTCCTGTTGTCACTGGCTAGTTGTGGGTTTTCATTTAGGATATATTCCCCTTGCATTGTTATATTTGCTTGTTTTGCAGTGTCTTTCCCTCTTGCTAGATTGAGAACATTTTAACTTCAATCTTGTAACCTCCACTGAATTGTTTGGGGTCTGTGAAAATGAGGCTGGGGATGACTACATAGAACAATGGCCCGTATGTGTGTGACTCACAGTCTTATATAAACTAATGGTTGCAATATAGTGTGTTCATTGTAATGTAAAATCAGAGCTAGGTAAATGTGCAGAACTTACTGAACAGAAAAATCAAGAGCTTGGTCAATGTGTACCAACTGCCAAAATGTAAGTTTTATAAGATAAGAGACTTTGTTTTACTCGTTTTGTTTACACCATGTCTCTGGCTCTTACTCTGAGGCCCACATTTGTTATTTTACACATATTTGTTGAATGCCTGCTGGCTTACTTAAGCTATAAGTCTTAACCTGGTACTTTTAAATGTCTAGCAGGAGATTCAAAATATTACATCAAAAAACTCCATCATTGTCTTCCTCATGGTTAAAGGATAACATACAGCATCTTACCATTTCCTCCTAATAGAAGAAAATCATCTTTGTTTTTCTGATTTGCTGTTTCTTTTGTTCAGAAGAGAACAGAAGAAATAAGGTGGGAAATCATAGTTGCTGTAGTCTGGCTTCAGTTTATTCAGTGTTTTTGGTCCTTTTATTATTAACCAAAAAATTATAGTGGAGCAGAGGAAAAATCTGAGGAAAGATTACTTTCCAAGATTCATGGATGTCTGTTTGACTTTTCAAGTGTTTATTTAAGGTTGCTCATCAGTCTTCTATTTACATTGACATGTTATGTTACATGTTTTGCGTATCCGGCTCTCCATGTTTCTTTCTATGGAAGCTTGCCTGGCGCTATTCAGAAACTGAGAAGAATGTTGAAGGTCAGGACCTTAAATTGCTTGCTATGACAGGTTTTAAAGAACAGGAGTGAAGGAGCAGTTGTGTGAGGAGACCATTGACACTTTTCTTTCTTCTCTTTTCTTTTGCCTTTAGCTCAAGCCAGGGCAGAACAGCTGCAGGGACAGTGACAGTGAAAGCGCCAGTGGAGAATCCAAGGGCTTCCGCAGGAGCAGCTCTCGGGAAAGGCTCAGTGACGTAAGTTTAAATAAAGAAAAAGAAAGAAATCAAAGCAAAACTATGAGACCACACACCCCCTCTGTCAAGTCTTAATTCCCCAAAACTCTCATCCCTTCACATCACTTTGTATATCCAAGCATCACAGTTCACCCTTTCTTGGTTTACACTTTTGAGCATTGCATTGTAGTGTCATTCTCTTTTCTAGTTTGACCTAAAATGTATTTTAACAGATTATAAGGCAGGGAAGATCATTTGTCATCTTAGAAGCAACAGATTGCAAAGTGAAGTAATAATGCCTTTAATATCAGTGTTATATGTGAACGAATTCTTCACTGGGAAATGACATCATTTAACTATAGGCTCTTTGTAATTTCTTTTACTGAAGAGATTGGTAACAGACCCTTTCTGTCATTTCATTTCTCTGAAGGGATGAATAACCAACCACTTACTTGGCAAGAGAAGGAATTAAATTTCCTGACTGGTTTCTGAAGGGAAATCCCTTGTAAGAACACACCATATTTCTTGAAGGGTCTATGAGTCCTCTAGACCTGGCTCTAACCACTCTCTTGGCCTCCTATCCACCAGCAGGGCAGATTCTTCTTGGCCAATCTTGAGAACTCCCTGTCCCTATTTGGGCCCTCTTGCCTTCTTCTCTAATGTGTCCTGCAGAAGGATTCTTGACCTATCTTTGGCCTTGAGAACAACTCTTGGAAACTTTTTTATAAAATAGATCAAGTAGGGAGACATTTTTATTATTGATACCAACAGTAGTTTCTCATTCATTTCTCCTTCATCCAGGGTGCAGAGACACACCATCTTCCTGTGCCCCTCAAGAAAGCTTGTGAGATTTAGGGTGAAATTTGCTGTATGGAACATAGAATTCTTATAAGAATTAAGTGGAATAAACAAAGTATAATTATTTTTGTAATAATTTTAATATCTTAGTAATAACTGCCTCCCTTTTTCTAATTTATAATATCAATTATATAAAGAAAGAATACTAACTCAGTCTTATGCTATATGAGTATGTTTGTGTATAAGAATATTTGTGTTTATGTTTCATTAACTTTGTGATTGAATTACAAATTATAAGTATTTTTTACCTTAGTTATGAATACATAAGACTTAAGTAGCTGTTCTGAAATTTTTGTTTTGCTTTTAATAGAAGATGTTATTGACCCTAGAAACTATTCTAGGATTGACTAATTGTAATTTCATCAGAGTAGAGAAATGAAAGCCACATTAGGTCAAAGGACAAGATCACATTATTGTATAGTCATTGAGGTTTTTTTGACTGGTTGCCCTAAACTCTTTTCCACTGGATCAAAAGAAATTGGCAAAAGATATCCCATATTCATGAACAGAAAGACTTAATGTTGTTAATATGTCAATAGTACCTAAAGCAATTTGCAAATTCAACACAATTCATAAATTTTCAGTTTTTCATAGGAAAATTCTACTTTTCCATTTTTGCAAAAATGGAAAAGCAGATACTCAGATTTTTATGGAATGGTTTGAGACCCCTAGTGGTCAAAACAATCTTGAAACAAAGTTGGGAGACTTACACTTCCCAATTTCAAAACTTTCTATAAAACCACAGTGATTAAAACAGTATGGTATTGGCATCAGGATAGACATATAGACAAAGGAAATAGAATTGAGAGTCCAGAAATATACTCACACATCTTTGGCTAGCTGATTTTTTTTTAATTTTTTATTAATGTATGATTGATACACACTCTTATGAAGGTTTCACATGAAAAAACAATGTGGTTACTAGATTTACCCATATTTTCAAGTCCCCACCCATACCCCGATACAGTCACTGTCCATCAGTGCAGCAAGTTGCCAGAGATCCACTATGTGCCTTCTCTGTGATACACTGTTCTCCCTGTGATCCCCCACACCATGTGTACTAAATATAATACCCCTCAGTCCCCTTGTCCCTCCCTCCCCACCTGCCCTCCCATACCCCTCCCCTTTGGTAACCACCAGTCTCTGAGTCTGCTGCCATTTTATTCCTTCAGTTTTGCTTCATTGTTATACTCCACAAATGAAGGAAATCATTTGGCATTTGTCTTTCTCTGCCTGGCTTATTTCACTGAGCATAATGTCCCCCAGCTCCATCCATGTTGTTGCAAATGGTAGGATTTGTTTCTTTCTTATGGCTGAATAGTATTCCATTGTATATGTGTACCACATCTTCTTTATCCATTCATCTACAGATGGACACGTAAGTTGCTTCCATATCTTGGCTATTGTAAAAAGTGCTGCAATGAACATAGGGGTGCATATGTCTTTTTGAATATGAGAAGTTGTATTCTTTCAGTAAATTCCAAGGAGTGGGATTCCGGGGTCAAATGGTATTTCTACTTTTAGTTTTTTGAGGAACCTCCATATTACCTTCCACAGTGGTTGAACTAGCTGACATTCCCACCAGCAGTGTAGGAGGGTTCCCCTTTCTCCACATCCTCACCAACATTTGTTGTTCTTAGTCTTTTTGATGCTGGCCATCCTTACTGGGGTGAGGTGATATCTCATTGTGGTTTTAATTTGCATTTCCCTGATGATTAGTGATGTGGAGCATCTCTTCATGTGTCTGTTCGCCATCTGAATTTCTTCTCTGGAGAACCGTCTCTTCATATCCTCTGCCCATTTGTTAATCAGTTTATTTGCTATTTGGGTGTTGAAGTGTGTAAGTTCTTTATATATTTTGGATGTTAACCCCTTGTCAGATATGTCATTTACAAATATATTCTCCTGTATTGTAGGATGCCTTTTTGTTTTGTTGATGATGTCCTTTGCCGTACAAAAACGTTTTAGTTTGATGTAGTCCCAAGAGTTCATTTTTGCATTTGTTTCCCTTTCTCGAGGAGATGGGTTCAGGAAGAAGTTGCTCATGCTTATTTTCAGAAGATGTTTGCCTATGTTGTCTTCCAAGAGTTTTATGGTTTTATGACTTACATTCAAGTCTTTAATCCATTTCGAGTTTACTTTTGTGTATGGGGTAAAACAGTAATCCAGTTTCATTCTCTTGCATGTAGCTGTCCAGTTTTGCCAACACCAGCTGTTGAAGAGGCTGTCATTTCCCCACTGTATGTCCATGGCTCCTTTATCATATATTAATTGGCCATATATGGTTGGGTTATATCAGGGCTCTCTAGTCTGTTCCATTGGTCTATGGGTCTGTTCTTGTGCCAGTACCAAATTGTCTTGATTACTGTGGCTTTGTAGTAGAGCTTGAAGTTGGGGAGCATAATTCCCCCTGCTTTATTCTTCCTTCTCAGGATTGCTTTGGCTATTCGAAGTCTTTTGTGGTTCCATATGAATTTTAGGATGATTTTCTCTGGTTCGTTTAAGAATGTTTTAGTATTTTGATAGGAATTGCATTGAATCTATAGAATGGCAGGATGGCCATTTTGATAATATTAATTCTTCCTATCTATGAGCATAGGATGTGTTTCCATTTATTGGTATCCTCTTTAATTTCTCTCATGAGTGTCTTGTAGTTTTCAGAACATAGGTCTTTCACTTCCTTGGTTATTAGGTTTATTCCTAGGTATTTTTTTTTATGCAATTGTGAATGGAATTGTTTTCCTGATTTCTCTCTCTGCTAGTTCATTGTTAGTGTATAGGAATGCCACAGATTTCTGTGTATTAATTTTGTATCCTGCAACTTTGCTGAATAGTTTTGGAGTGGATTCTTTAGGGTTTTTTATATACAATATCATGTCATCTGCAAACAGGGACAGTTTAACTTCTTCCTTGCCAATCTGGATGCCTTTTATTTCTTTGTGTTGTCTGATTGCTGTGGCTTGGACCTCTGGAACTCTGTTGAATAGAAGTGGGGAGAGTGGGCCTCCTTGTCTTGTTCCCGATCTTAAAGGAAAAGCTTTCAGCTTCTCACTGTTAAGTATAATGTTGGCTGTGGGTTTGTCATATATGGGTTTTTTATGTTGAGGTACTTGCCCTCTATACCCATTTTGTTGAGAGTTTTTATCATGAATGGATGGTGAATTTTGTCAAATGCTTTTTCAGCATCTATGGAGATGATTCTGTGGTTTTTGTCCTTCTTTTTGTTGATGTGGTGGATAATGTTGATGGATTTTTGAATGTTATACCATCCTAGCATCTCTGGCATAAATACAACTTCATCATGATGGATGATCTTTTTGATGTCTTTTTGAATTTGGTTTGCTAATATTTTGTTGAGTATTTTTGCATCTCTGTTCATCAGGGATATTGGTCTGTAATTTTCTTTTTTTGTGGTGTCTTTGCCTGGTTTTGGTATTAGAGTGATGCTGGCCTCATAGACTGAGTTTGGAAGTATTCCCTCCTCTTCTATTTTTTGGAAAACTTTAAGGAGAATGGGTATTTAAAATTCAGCAGTGAAGCCATCTGGTCCAGGAGTTTTGTTCTTAGGTAGGTTTAGTTAATTTTCATTGCTGGTAATTGGTCTGTTCAGATTTTCTGCTTATTCCTTGGTTAGCCTTGGAAGGTTGTATTTTTCTAGAAAGTTTTCCATTTCTTCTAGGTTATCCAGTTTGTTAGCATGCAAGTTTTCATAGTATTCTCTGATAATTCTTTGTATTTCTGTGGTGGCTGTAGTGATTTTTCCTTTCTCATTCCTAATTCTGTTTATGTGTGTAGACTCTTTTTTTCTTGATAAGTCTGGCTAGGGGTTTATCTATTTTGTTTATTTTCTCAAAGAACCAGCTCTTGCTTTCATTTATTCTTTCAATTGTTTTATTCTTCTCAATTTTATTTATTTCTGCTCTAATTTTTATTATGTCCCTCCTTCTACTGACTTCGGGCCTCATTTGTTGTTCTTTTTCTAGTTTCACTATTTGTGAGGTTAGACTGCTTACATGGGATTGTTCTTCTTTTCTGAGGTAGGCCTGTATTAGAATATACTTTCCTCTTAGCACAGCCTTGGCTGCGTCCCACAGATTTTGCAGCGTTGAATTATTGTTGTCATTTGTCTCCATATATTGCTTGATCTCTGTTTTTATTTGGTT